CTTGGAAGAGCTGGGTTCAGTTCCATTTTCTTAGACCCAATCCAACCAAAATTGGGCTCAGGTTTACTTGGGTTTTGCCATGTGGTTTTGACCCTTTTTCACAACCAGGTTTGGGTCCTAAAATTGGAGGTTTTGTTGGACTAGGTTTAGAGCTTTTGTTAGGTTAAGGTTGGTCCAATGGGTTGTCCAGCCCATTTTTTCTTCTTTTCTCCTTCCCTCTCAACTCAGATCAAAGGTTGGGTTAGTTGACCGGATGTTGAGTTTGAGAATCAAAGATTACATCCGTTATTTATTTATTTATTTTTATATTTTAAAAGTGTTTTTTTAAAAAATAGTTTTTAAAATTATTTTTTATATTTTTAAAATTTTTTAATAGACTGATGTTAAAAATAAATTTTTAAAAATAAAACTGTTCTATAAAATTCAGGATTCGTTTTGGATTTTTCCCAGCTCTTCTCTTTCCCTCGACTTACAGCATTATCAGAGACAGGGAAAATCTAGCCGTTGCTAGCTTGAGCCAACCTAGCTGCCGTTGCTAGCTTGATTTGGGTCTAGGATACTATGTCCTCGTGCTCTAAAAGAGTGCACTGCTAACCTGACTCTCATGGCCTACTCTGTCCACCTGCTCTAAAAGCGTGCTCAATCTCATAAGTGAAGGCCCTATAAAAAAAAACTCGCAGACCTCCACATTAATAAGCTTGCTAGCATGGTGACCATGTACATTTAATGGGCATTGATTCACCCTCCAATTAAAATCTTTTTTATATCTTTTAATTTTTTTTTTATTTTTTTAATCATAATTTTTATGTGGTTTTTTTTTTTTGGTGTTTCATTCTTTAACTTTTGATGATTTGACGGGGGAACGGGCTTTTGAGCTTTTTCATGCTTTCGGTATATTGATATGAATAACGAATTTAACAAGTTATTGAGATCTGGGGTTCTTTTTTATTAATTAATTTTACTATTTTAATATTCAATATTACTGTTTTTTAAATGATTTTTTTGGTTATTTTAAATTTCTTCCTTATAAATTTATCTTGGTTTGATAATCTAATCCATAACTGTTGCATATTTTTTAAATAAAAATATTTGAAATAATGATTTTTTTTTGTTTTTAAATTTTTAATAATTCTTTTTATTTTATAAATAAATATTTATTTTTAAATAATATTTCTAATATGTTTGGCATTACATAATATTTTCAGTTTTATATTTGTTTCCGTTTTTTTATTTTTTATTAATTTTAATAAATAAATTTAATAGATATAAACGATTAAATATCTTATTTTACAGAATTAAATATCTTAGCTTATAATTATTTCTTAATTTTTCTAGTTTTTTTTTATTATTATTAACAATTTTTATTTATTTATTTACATAAATAATTATCGGTTAATTTGATTAAATGTTTACATAATTTTTTTTTTGCTTCAAATCTTTTTAGAAAATAGCCTGCATGCATACCCATGATTCATGTTTTTACAGCTTGCGGTATTGCATATTCAATAGCCGATAACCTTTAATACCATGAAGCAATGTTAAGTATACAAAAGTTTTTGAAAGTGTAGTAATAATTAGTTTTTAAAGTGTTTTATTTTAAAATATATCAAAATAAAATTTTTAATTTTTTTAAAAATTATTTTTAACATCAGCACATTAAAAAAATTTAAAAAAAATTAAAAATTATTTTAAAATTAAAAAAATCAATTTTATTTAAAAATACTTTTAAAATATAAAAACAATTCAATCTAATTCTAAAGTTAGTACAATGGAGCTAAAACAAACAATAAAAACATTCAGCGTATCTACTATAGAGAAGTATAAAAACAATATGTATGATGAGTTAGTCGGAAAATCTACAAACCAAAGATTGTTTTGTTACATGATTACGCAGGAGATTTTGGAAGAGTCGAGCTGTTAGATACATTGTCGAACTATCTTGATAGGACAATTCAATGCAAAGATGGCATAAAACAATAGTTTTGGATGTTTCTGCGCACCCTTCAATATTTTGGCTATATTTTTTCTTTTATTAATCTGGATATCAAAATTAGACAGATCCCCCCAATTCAGAAAGCTAGTGTACATGACATGTTTCCATGTCGGCATATCCTAAACTCCAGCGTTTATCTATTTTTATAGCTTTTAGGGATTTGATTTTGTTTCTATTTAAATTTTGCGAGTTCGCTTGTTTTAAACATTATTTTTAATTTCTTGGATAATCAAGATTTTCCTTTCTTGGTAAAATTCTCAACCCTAGCAAATTTAAACCCCACTTGTGGGCTATTTTGAATAATCATGACTGTGTGTGTGTGTATCTTAGAATTTCTCTCTTCTTGTGGGACTTACAATGGTGTTTAGAGTTCTCTCAAACCCTTTTCATCTCCACTCGTTCTTGAATCTCCCTTTCAGTCCCAGCTGCTTAGGTAGTTCATGTTTTGTCACATGTTCATGTCTAATCTAACAATAATGCGGACTAGCTAGTACAAGTGGACAGCCCTCAAGGATAATGTCCATGGGCAGTTCCGACTAGAGATGGTGGCCAATTGGCCATCCCATGTGTTAAACTTAGGCCTTCAGCTGTGCTCGAAGTTCAGATATTCAAATTGAAGGACACACAAATCATGTTTTATGTATGATTCCAAGGAGAAATGGACACAAACTATAGCTGTTGGAGGAGCCGGCATGCAGTCAGGTTTTGAGGAAACTGACTCGAGGTTGTGGGTGGAGATCGACAGATAGGGGCCATTGTTGATCGACTCATGTGAGCTGTTTTCGAACTCTTTGTGCCTGGACCTTTTTGTGGCCTTTGTGGGTGTTCTTTTCTCTTTGCCCCTCTCTAGAACTGCTATTCTGCAATGAACAACTGAGCATGTCGAACATGATTAATTGAATCTCTCTATGAAAAACTTAATTCATCAATTTATCTTGAAAGTCCTGGAACTGCTTTCGTACGCTGAAGTTTAGCCCCAGACCTGTCATGAACCATGAGAAAAAAAAGCCGAGTTTCTTCTGCAGCAAATTAGTTGAAGTGGAGACGTCAGAACACAGAGGCGTCGTGGTGTGCTGTAGTTGATTATCACGCCAATTTAACATATTAATGATTAGTTTAGCTAGAGTTAATTTATAAAAAAGGACAAATACTATAGATACTAGAACGTGTTTAATTCAGAAGACGGACACAACAATATTAAATGAATATATTTTTAGCAAAGTTTGGAAAGGAATTTATATTTTTTTAATAAAAAGCACAAGAAGATATATCTGTCAGACTTGTAGAAACTAAATTTTTTAAATATTTAAGTGAAGATTTGACATAATTAAATAGGCCTGAAAAAAATTTAGCCAATCAGATCTTTTTTATTTTTCAAAGTATAAAATTATAAATTTATAGTTCATAGATACAACTATTTTAGCGAATTAAAATTTATGTTTTGTGTGTTATTATTGTTATATTAGCTTTAATTTGTCTATATCCTAATCAAGAACCAAATGCTAAGAATCTCTAATATATAAAACCACTTTTAATTTTGTTTTCATATACTATGGATGAACACCATTCAAAGAACTAACTTCGAATTATCTGTTCAAATTCGGAGCCCCATTAGGGATGAACACTATTCAAAGAAATCTAAATTGTTTTGTTATGTGAGGGAGACCACCATTTTTTACAACAATTTTGTTCCCATATCGGCATGCCCTATTTGTTTCAGTTTGGCCTGCGTAGCAAAGGCACTCCCAGCAGCCTTTGGTCACGAAGAAAAGTGAATAAAAATTTAACATAATTAAACTCGTTTAAACAGCACATCTTGTTCATATAATAACATCCTTTTGAGGTTCTGTGAGCTTTTTCTTAACCATGCTGGAGCTTTGGATTGTGCTTTACAGAAAAGATCAATAACTGTAATTTTCCCGGTGGAGTTTTGTGGCTCTTTTCCTGTATCCATGTGCAAGGAAGGTATCAGAGAAACTTTGAATCCAAACATTATTAATGTTATTGTGCAGTAATTGGTCAAGCAAAAGATGACAGTATTCAAAGGAATGGTGATGTGTGGCTAATCTTGGAATTAGCTATCATGAACCCAGGAAAAACAAGCTGTGGTGGTGGGTGTGGTGAGCTAACTGCTGAAGTCCCGTTGGCTTTCATGGACCCTACCCCATCTGCTGATAGGTGTTTATGGGCAAGTTGACAATCTGAACTCTGCTGAATCAGTGGACATTGTCTTGAAAATACTCTGATGGCTAGGGGTGGAAGAATGTTATTCAATCATGTCCCTTGCCAAAAGCTAATGTCAAAGCAAGCAAGCAGGTGCCATATGAGGAACTCAATTCCTCCACCAAGTTATAGAATTCGATACATGATATTTTTTAAAATATTTTTTATCTAAAAATATATTGAAATGATTATTTTAAAAATATATTTAGATATAATTGTAGTCATAAAAGCGAAAACAAACAGTAAACTAATGATTTTTTTAAATTTTTTTATGCATCTCATCTTGTGATGTCAAGAATATTGGAATTGATACTTACCTAATTAATGTTGATTTTTCCTTTTTTTTTTTTCTTGTCAAATGATTGGATGAATACGGCCAATAATTCCCTCTTTAATTAAGTGTGAGTGACATTTTATTTCAAGATTCTTGAAACAAAATTAAATAATTTTAGTACTAAATTCATAATCATCCATTATTAATGGTCAATGTATGAAGATCGATCATGGTGGCAACGAGGTAACAAGCTAGGGAATTCGCTCTTATTCTTTTGATTGCTCGAAATAATTACAATTAATGATCTTTGCATTATTGTATGGCAATGCAAACCTTGAGTGGCCATTCCCTTTTCTTTTTTTTTTCTTTTTGGTTTGGCTTGGCCAAATTTTTTTTTTTAATGAAATTCTTGTTCTATGTTTTAAAAAATATATTAATTAAAGTTCTCTCTGTTAACTGTAGGGAAATCAATGTAGGGAATTGCTTAAAATCAATGTAGGGAAAAGGCAATGATACGAAAGAGATGAAAATCTCCTCATTAAAGATAAATCACTGGACTATAATACAAGAAAGCTGTATGAAACTGAAAAAACAAAGGAGAAAAAACAAGCCACTACGTCCTCAGTTATACAAAATGCCCAAAACACCTAAAAACTTTGGGCCTTCGGAGAGGGCTCTATCTGTGTGCTATCTGTCTTTTCCTATTTTTTTTTTTATATCATACAAAGGGTAGGTTTTTTTTTTTTTTTTTTACAGTTAAAAATAACTTTAAAACTGTGAGATGCAACGTCTATGGCAAGCTGTTGCCCTCTTGGTTTGCTTGGTTTCCTCTTTCCAAACCTTGCCAATATCTTGTGCAATTCTAATGGCATCAGAGGATGCACCAGAGAGCCCTTTCCTTGTGAACCCAACAGCATAGAGACCGGCATTTCCTTTCCAGCCATTTGGGAATGGTGCCTTTGGGAACCCATTTTTGGAGAAGAATTCACCTTCCTGAATCCATCATGTAACCAGCCAAGATTAGCCCATTTGTCCAATACCAAATAATAATCTAAAAAAACACAGCAGAAGCTTCTGAAACAGTCTTCCTTCTTGTAAAGAGATAGTACAAAACACATTGTCTGACAATTTTCTGATAATGGATAAGCAGTTTTTTTCAAAGGAAAGAAATTGACTTTTAAGAATATTTTTTCAAAAAAGAAAGATATGTAAACAGAGGAATTGGAACATATTCTCACCTGAAGCCAATAAGGGACATTGCTGCGGTATCCAGTAGCCAAAATAACTGAGTCTATATCAAGAATTTCACCATTGACAAGCTCAACCTGACCACGTGAAAACCTCTTGATTCCAGGAACCACGTTAATGTCTCCAGATCTGATTTTCTCCAATGCACCAATGTCCAGTACAGGGGTCTTGCCCATGGTGTTCTTGAGAGTCAATGGACCCATAGATGGCCTCTTTAGACCATACTCCTCAGTGTTTCCTAGCACCAACCATGCCATGATCAGCATGAGCTTGTCAACTAGCCAAAGGGGTACCCAACTCATCAACAAAACAGCCAATTCAAAGGTTGATTTGCCCATGATTTCTCTTGGCAAAACATGAACCTGTAGCAAACCAAAAGAAGCATAAAAATCCCATTAGGATCGACAGCTAAAAAGTCATCAGAATTTTGTTGAAATCAAGTGCAATGTTTGATTGAAACTCACCGAGCTGCGAACCACCATTGTTGGAGACGCGTTGTAGTTGCAAAGATCGAGAGAAACTTCCATGCCAGAATTGCCACAGCCGACAACAAGTACTTTCTTCCCGCTGAATTTCTCGCCGGATTTATATTGGCAAGCATGGATAACCTCACCACCGAACTCAGCCAATCCTTCAATCTCAGGCATTACACACTCTGCATTCTCCCCAGTAGCCACAACAAGCCAGCGGCAAATGTACTCAACTTCAGTACGGTTTGAGCCGCTTGTAGAAACTGTCTTTACCCTCCACAAACCACTGGTCTCATCGTACCTTGCTGACTGAACATACTCATTGAATCTTGGGTTGATCTCAAATTGCTTTGCGTATGATTCAAGGTACTCAATGAACTGTTTCTTTGTAGGGTACTCGGGGAAATCCTCGGGAAATGGGACTTTAGGGAGCTGGCAGAATTGCTTAGGGAGGTGAAGTTTAAGCCTGTCGTAGGTGCGTTTTTGCCACAAGGATGCTATGCATTCTTCTTTTTCAAGAACAGCAAAGGGCACGCCTTGATCTCTAAGGCAAGCAGCCGTGGCTAACCCTGATGGTCCAGCACCAACTATGACCGGACCATTAACCCAAATGCATCTTCTAGAGAAGAAATCTTCATGATCAGCTAAGCGAAACATATTCTCCATGATGTAATAGTATATGTCACTATATATATATATGTATAAAGTGTGAGTGTTTGTGTGAGATTTGCTTTCAAGCTTATAGCTAGCTTAAGGTCTTAGTAGCCAAAGTAGATTTTGTAGGATCAAAGAGAGTTGAAGATAGAAAGAGAGAGTTGTCTTTGTTGTTGTTTTGAAGTGAAATGTGTTTTGGTATGGAGGGAGAGAAGGGGTGGGGGTGCTTTAAATAGGGGAGCGAGCTAGCTTTGGAGGGGGTCATATGATCATGTGAGGAGTGGGAGAGTTATGCTTCTTGACCGTCATTCTCAAATCATAAGCCTAATGGCTGCCTTTTCATTATTTTATTGCTCTTAAAACCTAACATAATGATATTATTATGAGAGGTCTATGTGTGATATATTTAATATTTTCTTGCTAAATTAAAGTACAAGAAATAGAAATATTTTGATATGCCTCGGGGAAAGTTTTTACAATCACAAGAAGGGAAGGGTTTTTATAATTAGTAGTTGTTTTATTTATACAATACCTAGTAATGCTTGGCATGCTCTCCCATTACCGACCCGATGAATAGAATTTCGATGGTTTTGATGCCAAAAACTTAACATATGCTTGAAGATTTTGTTGCATGTTTGAGATTCCATATATGTGAATTCTATATGATGCTCCACCGAATTGGTGGGTCTCTCCCTCTATCATATAATTGGAGTGAACTTGATGGAAGTTGTGAGTTCATTATAGCAAAAAGAATCGAGAATCTTTGACACAATGCTTTGTGTTTAAAGTTGCATTATTAAACTCATTTAAGCTTAATAGATGGATTCAATATCTAATTTAAATTTAATTTATAAAAATTTGAATGAGAGCCAACTGACTTATAATTCGATTAATCTAATCAAAATTTGGTTTAATTTTTTTATTATAAAATTTTAAATAAAATTATTTTAATTAATTCAAATTAAACTATCTAATTTATAATTCAATTAAATCACGAGTTGAATAGAATTTAACAACTTCAATTTTATTTTAATTAATTCGAGTCAATATATTCATCCAATCTTACAAGTCTTTTTTTATTTCCTTGAAGCAATGAAAGTGCCTCCTCGCTCCCATCTTGATTCTATTGGACCCACTAAAGGAGGATGGGAGTGCTCATAGTAATTAAAAAATAAAATAAACAAAAATTTCTAGAAATGAACATCCGCCAGGAGTAGCTGACTAGGATATGCACGATCCGCTCACGTGGAGGGGATCGGCCAACTTGCAAGAACAGGGTCCCAGAAGGCTCCAGCCATTAGGATAGCAACCTGTAAGGCTGTTCCGGCCCACAAGGCCCATTCTGCCAACTAGAATTTCACTCTCCACTAGGACCAACTGCCACGTGTTGAACCCCCTTCTCTTGAATTTATTATTTTCTCGCTGCCTTCCGCGCACTGCTTTCAACAGGTTTCTACATTCCAAAAATCTGTTCTTTCCACTCTCTAATTTGCTACTTCTACTCCTTGCCCTTGTAGCTAAAACCCTAATATTTTCACACGTGCCAACTTCCATGTGCTAGGGTTTTTCATTTTGTCTAACCAATGATAAATTGAAATGCATAGCAGAGTCGTCAATTAAGGTAACTTTTTGAATTGTGGTTGGAATGTTTTTTATTGGAAAAAAAATTAAATTATAGGTTTTTTTTAAAATAATTTTAGATGGTTTTACTACGAAGGTGTTCAAGTATTGAAAAACATTTAAAATAAATAAATTTAGTTTTTTCCGGATGAAATACTTCCGACTGCATTACTAGATACACACTTCATTAACCTCTTTTATTTTTGTTTTTATTTTTTCAATTCAATTATATAGTTCTAATATTTTTTTCCCATCAAATTATGCCAAAGTTTATTAATAAATAAGGAATATCTTTAAATCACGTTGATAGAAACTATTTTTTCCAAACCATATTAATGTTCACAATCACAAAAATATCAGCAAATAAATAGTGATTTCAGATATATAGTTTTTAGTAGAAGATATTGAATCATTGAAAATATTTTAAGAAAATCTAAATATAATTTTTTTTATTTATGATAACACAAAAAAAAGAGTATTTTCAACTACATTACCAAAAAAAAAGTTAATTAATTTTTTTATTTCTTTTATCTTTGATTTATAAAATATATCTTAATAGAAACTATTTTTTTCAAACAATTTTAAAAAGAAATCAGCGGATAATTCCACGAAAGGGGATACATATACAACTTGTTTAGTGTTACAGCAGGCGATGAGTTTAAGAAAATAAATATTCTTAAATCAATGGAGAATTAAGATCTTTGAACATCGACTATCGATCATGGATGTGTAATTTTGCCTTTGTTAATTTAGCAGGCTTCGATTTCTGCTCTACGTGGAAGGCTAACAGACCATGTTCCTTTCGGTAGTTCATATAATATTAAGACCCTTTTTGACACGCGTCCTGATCATGATTAACAAGTAATTAAAGGAGGTCTTGAGCTTTTACTAATATATATAGAGTACTTTGAATTTTTGGTGGAGATTAATTAACAAGGGCTTGCAAGCTAGCTTTCAAGGTTAGGGTTAGGGTTTGTACATTATATTTTGTTTCATAGGCCTATCAAGTACAATGAAGCTTCGTGGCTAGCTAGGTGGATGATCGTTTTGAGTTGGAAACTCAGTGTATGCTCCACTATCCCACTTGCTACTAAGTTAAAATTTCATGGGAAAGCAGAGGGAAGCATGTGCATGATGCCTTGAATTCCATAAGAGTCTCTTCTTTTCATGAAAAGATTTAGAGGGATGAGTTTACTTTGGCGTTTCTGGCTAAGTTTTTTTTTTTAATTTTTTTGCATAATAATATTATTTTTTTCTTCGGAATGAGTAGAATCATCATCATTCCACTTCTGCTGTAGCCAGTCCCCATGCTCCAAGAAAAGAAAGAAAAAAAACAAGCCTCCAAATGCAAGAGAACAAAGAGATATGATGAGAGACACAGATACAGTCATATCCCATGCACAATATCCATCAAATACAGATATGATCAGGTATTTTTTTAAAATATATTTGCATTGTAATAGTTTTTATAATTGTGATTTAAAATATATATATATATATATTAAAAAAATTATAAATTATAGCTTTTTTTATAACTAATTTTTTTAAAAAAAAATTCAGTGAAATCTATGTAAAATTATAGCATGTATTATTTAACCAAAAACTCTTAAATTTATTTTTAAATCTGTGATTAAAAAAAACACAAATTACATTACACCTCACAGCAAAAATAAACAGAGCGTTAGCCTACCCACCAGCCTTGCCATGCTCCACAGCCAGCTTGGTAGCATTTGATGATCAACTCTTTAACTTTTAGGATGAGATGGAATAAGTTTTCAAGTATTTTAATTTTTGCACCTTAATTAATAATGTCTTTTCATTTTATTATACGAACCTTCATAAATATATAATTAATTCCTCTTCTTTTATGGAAAGATCCTATGGCTTTCGTCTAGCTTTCTGTGGTCGGCGGTGCCTGCTAGGAAGAGTGTGTTTTGGAAGAGTATCTTTAGTGGTATTTGCAAACTAAATTATGCTGAAAAGCTTGAGGAAATCTATAATGAGTATCAATCAGTCACGCGTATGAGAGGAAAAAAGTTCGAGAAAGGCTAAATCATTATCATATATCTCAATGCCTTTCTTGGAGAAGTTTATAGGGAAACTCGATCGGTTGCCAACTTCACAAAGCAGAAAGTTTACGCAGATCAAGATATGCAAACTGGCTGTGGAATATATATATATATATATGTGTGTGTGTGTGTGTGTGTGTGTGTGTGTGTGTGTGTGTGTGTGTGTGTGTGTGTGTGTGTGTGTGTGTGTGTGTGTGAGAGAGAGAGAGAGAGAGAGATAAATTATAGGTAAGGTTAAGGTTATAGCTCTATATTACATTATGTTTAATTTTTATCAAATAAATAGAAATGGTGAGATGTGATTATTTGATCATCAAAACTCTGATATTAGGTCAAAAAATTAATTCAACCCAATAGTTTACACCGTTAGGTAAAGTCTTAAAATATAATTAATATTATTCTCTAATATACTTTTAAATGAAAGTTTTTAAGGTTTGAAACTTGTACAGACTTATATAGGTAATGCTTAATTTTTATTAAATAAATAGGATAGTGAGATTCGAACTTGTAAACATTTGATCATTAAGGCTCTGATACCATGTCAAAAAATAATCTCAATCCAATAACTTAAATTTTTAGATAAATTTCTAAAATATAATTTATATTATTTTTTAACATATAAAAAAAATTAATGTATTTAAATAAAAAAAAATATGTGTTACTTGTTGGGATAGATAACATGTCATCTACTATAATTTAAGACTTGAACACTATAGTGGTAGCGAGGTAGAGTTCTTTTAGATTGAAGATCTATTTAAACAATATATTAGCCTTAAAATCACCAAAGAAAACTAGAATTAATCGAACTTGGGAAATCAAAATGGAACTCAATTTTATTTTTCAGGTATTTTTATAGAAAAAACTCATTATCATTATTAAATGTAACTTATTGACATTAGGTTTGATTATTTTTATTATCAATATCATTACAAATAATAATATTTTCTTTTTTTTTCATGATTTTTTTATCTTTTCTCACTTTCCTAACTCGGGGCTGGATTATAAAATAAATAGAATAAACTTAGTTACCACCGAGTTTAGTTACCACCAAGTTTGACCATGGTTTAGGTTTACTTATTGGTTTTATATTGTATAGAAGTTGTCATGGTTATGTATTGACCAATTTGCATAAAAGGTTAGCACGAATCACATGTAATGCAAGTATAAAGATAACTAGTTGGCTATAAATAAATTCTGGGATACATATTATAATTAGTCTTTATATTTTGGTGTTGGTGTCCATCTTGTATGTTCTCACTTTGTTTTCTCCTCGACAAAATTTGGTAGCGAGTCTTCTTTTGCCTACGTCCACCACCGTTGGTCATATATGGAAAGCACATTATTTAATTAGGTGAAAAATATAGTATTAAAATCTAGGGGTTAGGTTCTCTTCATGATTAAGAAGGGCCCCATGAGATTGCAAGAGGTTCTATACATATATAGTCTTGATTAAACTCTTAGTTCTTCTACTCATCCTTCATATGTTAATTAAT